TTACAAATGTGTTCATTTCTACAAGCTGTCAAATATTTTTATCATTTTATTTTTCACATTTACAAAATACACAAAATTATAGTTATTAATTGAAATTAAATAAAAATGTTTTATGTTTAAATATGTGTTTTCTGCTGTAAAAAAAATCCATCTATTATGTTCTTGTTCCTAATCAGGGTCAGGGTGGGAGCTGGAGCCTTTCTCAGATCTCAGACCATCACAGACAGAAACACAACTACCCACACTCCAGTCACACTCAAGAGCTCTAAAAGGTTTTCAAACTGGGAACTCTGGAATCTGAAAGTTTACTTTTACAGCAGTAGCTGAGAGTCATCTTCAGCACATCCTCCTCATGGATCTCAGTGTTACATGAAATCAGGAATACTGTTATTTTCAAGCTTTGACCAAAACAGCTCCAACTCTCTTAACACAAGATTATCTTAGTTTAAAACTTTAACCTCTAATCCAGCAGGTGATGTGATTCTTCAAGGATTGCCAGGTTTTAATTATTATCTTCTGTCTATCTCAGGCTGAATTACAGCTTCTACAAACTGCTTTAATTGAGACCAAATGCCAGATTATTCAAGCCTTAGCTGGAGCCATGGATAAGCCAGTGTTAAAACAACTTGAGGTAAAGCAAACACCTTCCTAACCCTCACAATAACATCACAGCATCACTGACTTGTGTCACTCTCTTCTGTCAGGTCCTTTCCAGAGCTGAGGAGAGCCTGAAAGACTTCGAACAAAGAATCACAGAGCTGAAAATCAGAGGAGCAGCTGTGCAGGCAGATCAGATATCAACAAGCAAAATGCTGAAACTTCAGGTAATGTCCATCATACGTGGCTGTCATATGGTGTGATCAAGAAGCTACCGGAAGGACAACTTTTCATCCTGCTTCACAATTTTGTTTTTATTTGTCTTATTGATGATTATGATTTAATGAGTAGCACTGTTACACTGCAAAAAGGTCCACCTAACCAAGTTTTAAAACTTTATATTCAGCCAAAAAGTCTTTTTGATCTTGTTTTGAGACTGATTTACTAAACAAGAACTGACTGCGTAAGAATAATAATCTTGTTTCCAGAATGTGTAAGATTATTTGTCTTGTTAGTCTGAAAATTTGACTCAAATTAAGTCAAAAATTTCTACCAGTGGAGTAAGAAAATTTTACTTGATAAGATTCTTGAAATGAGGAAAAAATTGAGTCAAATCAAGTATTTCAAGAATCTTACCAAGTAAATTTTTTACTCCACTGGCAGAAATTTTTGACTTAATTTGAGTCAAATTTTCAGACTAATAAGACAAATGATCTTACACATTCTGAAAACAAGATGATTATTCTTACACAATCAGTTCTTGTTTAGTAAATCAATCTCAAAACAAGATCAAAACGACTTTTTGGCTGATATAAGATTTTAAAGTGCTACTCGTTAAATCATAATCATCAATAAGACAAATAAAAACAAAATTGTGAAGCAGGATGAAAACTTGTCCTTGTCCTTGGAGTGCAGATTTGTCTCACCTATTTCAATTCAATTCAAATCAAATTCAAAAATACTTTATTGATCACAGAGGGAAATTAGGTAATTCCTGAATTCCAGAAATCAGGTATTTCCTGTAATAAATAAAATCATTTAAAATCAATCAATTAATCAATCAATCAATTTTATTTTACAGTATATAGCACTTTACAACAGTAACTACTAAACCAAAGTGCTTTCCATTAGTTCAGTAATAAAAAAATGTAAAAACCAACATCATTGGTGGAAAAATAACAACAGTGTGCTACAGTATGCTAAAAGCTATTCTAAATAAATATGTCTTTAGCTTAGCTGTTGTATTGATCACACAACTCAAAGGGTATTTAAAATCTGCAGTTTGTATTTATTTAGATTATTTGTCTGACAATGTTTATTTGCTGATCCGATACATTTAGGTACAACAAAAAGGAATAAACTGCAGAAATCTTTAATGGGACAAACACTTTTTCACATCACTGTAATTGTTTTCTGTACGTCTTCCCAGGATTCCTATGAGGAGTTAATAATGATGGTGGGTTCTAGACGCAGCGCGCTAAACCAGAGCATGGCTTTGAAGGAGCAGTACCAACAAGCTCTGCAGGACCTGATGGACCTGATCGACACAGCTAAAGACAAAATGTCTACCAATCAGAGAATTGTTGTCAGCTCTATGGAGGAAGTTCAGAACTATCTCGACAAACATAAGGTACGGTCGGCCCAGAAGTTGCTGAAAAAGTAAAAATTTATCATCAAGATTAAACTCTGAGGAATATATACCTGCTCATCATCAGCAGCTGCCAAAGGCAATAAAGGCAGTTAATGTTCTTGCTCGTGTGTGTGTGTGTGGGGTGGGGGGTGGGGTTCCTGGGGTATTTTTTTTACAAAAAAAGCAGCCAGGTGGGGACCGAAGTGAATCGTGGGGACCTGAGTCCAAATGCACAGGTGTGGGGTTAGATTTAGGACCAAGGTTTAGGTTAGTTTTAGGGTCAGGTAAGTTTCTGTGAGGTTAATTTTAGAGAATATGGTCAGGGTTAGGATATAAAGTTTAAAAAACATGAATGGAAGTCAATGGAAGGTCCCCACGGGGTCGAGAAACAAACGTGTGTGTGTGTGTGTGTGTGTTTGGTTGTACTGTTAAGTCTCAGAAAGTAACCGTCACATCTACAACTGATTAATTTTGAGTCAACCACATGCAAGATGGCTGACACAGCTAAGCAACCTTAGTAAACAAATAAAACTCAGCCGTTTACACAAATATTTAGCTAAAATTTGTTGTGGTAGTAGCTGAAAGTCAACCGCGACACATATCGAAGGTTCTCACAGTTTCACATGAGATTGCGCAAAATGTCTTTTATAAATCTAACTCTTCTCAGCATGAAACATATTTTATATAAAACATCTCATGAAGGGCGACAGGTGTTATGCCTTCAGAAGAATGCATGAATTCTAATTGCAGCAGATTCTGGTTTACTCTTTCTTCTCGTCCTTCTTGAACTTAGTGCAGTTTTGAAACCATTTCCCACACTTATCCTTCTCCACAGACTTTGATCCACTGGTATCACACACACCCCTCACTTGGTTTCAGTCATATCTTTCTGGCCGCACTCAGTTCATCCAACTTAAATCATCCAGATCCCACTCCTCCCCCGTGACTGCAGGTGTGCACCAGGGCTCTGTCCTGGGGCCCCTTCTTTTCATCATCTATCATAGCTGTAAAGTAACTAAGTTCAAAAACTTTGTTACTGTACTTAAGTAGAATTTTTGGGTATCTGTACTTTACTTGAGTAATTATTTTTCCAGCCTATTTTTTACTTCTATTTCGTACATTTTCACACAATAATGTGTACTTTCTACTTAAATTTTTTTTTTAAAAGACCAGAAGTAGAAAGTCATTACTTTTATTTCACTTTTGGTTGAATGAGAAGTATAAATATATAAAACTCTGATACTGTATTAGTTTGTACACAAACAAATCATGTCACACTCCAGCAGGACA